TTCATATTTCACTTGTTGATTCCGCTGTCGGCGTCAAAAAGAAACGTCAGCAAATATCAACTTTGGCGTACAAGTGGAAATAACGCGTCGCAGTCATAATATAATAATAAAATACTCACAGATCACGTGGGGGCATAGGGTAATGTCTCTGTCGTTGTGTATCATGCAAAACGTGCTATAGATACCTACGCATGCTGACACTCGTTTAAACTCGCATATCATATCCAAACGAATGGTTTTTGTGAAAAAAAAATGGTTTCAGGCAGGTACCTTTCTAATTTCCCGAAAAATCGTAATTCTTATACATCTTCAAGAAAACAAAAAAATTTAAAACTCACTATATTTCCTAAGATATTGGCTGTTAGACGATAATTATCGACCTGTATTATATTATGCATTTCGTCAATGCTCCGTGTATTGATAAAAAGTGGTGACATATGATATTTGCTTTGAGTCTAGGGGGACCACAGAATATTATTTTTTCTCAGTACGCCGACGAGTGTTGACTGTTGACGAACTTGAGTAGTCGGTTTTTGTAATCGCCCATAAATTGTATTTCCAATGTCACAGGTGAAGTGTATTGTTCGAGCCAGACGTAGTCTGATGTTTTCTGTTTAAAAAAACTGTACTTTATTCAGTAAACGAAATTATGTACATGTAATAAAAATTAAACATTACTACTGCATATCCCAATGTTATAAATACTTACGTTATTATGTTTGCAAATGAAGACGCATTGAAATCGTAGTGTAAATAAGTGTTTTTTCAATTTTCATAAAGGTTTTTCACATGTATGCCCCACCTTCCCATTCAAGTCCCTGATTCGACCGCTGATTCAAGTGTATTTTTCACGAACGTACCTATTCATCGACGCAGTAAGTTGCTTTGATCGGGGAAATTCGTCGTTGGCCGTCGGGACACCTGCAGCAGACCATTTCACGAAGTCTACGATAAATTAGCAAACGGAAGCGCACTATAAGTACCGCCGAGTTCTATATAGAATATTTAAAAGCGATATAATATATCGTTTTTGTGCAATCGCTCTGACAAGAACCAACCAAAAGATCATGACCGATGACCGGCGATTCCGGTCGTCGACCTCTCTTCCCGTCATTATATTATACGTTATGTTAGATAATATAAAATATAATACATAACATAAATGCCGGGCGAGGAAAAAAAATACCCACGCCCCGTGTAACGTCTGCGGTTTCCTCGGCGCCAATTCGATTCTCGGAATAAAAGAAAAAACACCACAACTCTACGAGAATAAATGTATTTTACCCGACCGAGGGATATTAATCTTTTACGTCTTTTACGTCACAAAATACTTTTCCGTGTTTTGGTCCTACACACGTTTTATACGATGAATACTTGCAGAAGTTGTATAGGTGGTACACGACACTCGAGTGTGTACACAGCAATTTCCGCTCGCCACTTATGCAGATTCGTCTTTGACTTTAGTCTTCAGAGACCAGGTCTAGTTGAGATAAGACTTATATTATGCCTACACACACACACACACACACACACACACACACAGATAGGGTGAGCGAGAGAGATAAAAAGTGACGATATTGGACTAAAAACACTAGGGCAGAAACTATACGACTGTCTGTATACATTCAGAGTGCTGGGTGGTCATTTCATTGGGAAGCATAACTTAGTAATATTAAATATAACAACTGTACAATACATATACCAAATAGATCATAATACTACTATTATCTTAGTATTGCTATTACCCCATACGTGGAAAACTAAACAAACAATAATCAACGGGGGGACGAGGTGGCCGAGCGGTCTAACGCGTCGGCTGCGGCGCTGGCAGTCGCGGGTTCGATTCTCTCGGCCACTGGGCGGAATTTTTTTCCGGGCAAGTCACGGTGTCCGGAGAACAAGTGCCGCCATCCCCCACCCGGGCATGGCAGATACCTACGGGTGCCCAATCAACAATTCTGCCCAAAACCCAACACACACGTGTTCCTCCCCCCTACCAACATTAACAACCCACAAATTAACCACTACAGCTAATGGCCATAGTTGCCGAAGTTTAAGATCAATAAAAAAAAATAAAAAAAATAATCAACGACCAGACTCTGTTACCATCTATATAAAAAAAAAAAATATATACCATCGTATTTTTATAATATAAAACTACTATTATATAATACTCCGAATACTTGTGCACGACAATTTTAACAACAAGAAAATAATGATTAACTCTCATATACTTTCACAGCATTTGATACTTTGTCTTTTTATTCCTGAAATAACCTCACCAGATCATATTCGAACACGAACTAACGAGAAAAAGTAGAATTTTGTAGCTCAATGAACACGTCTTCGTGTCGGAAAAGTTCAATGCGAATTAACAATTAACCATCTACTGTAGGTTAGATATTTGATTTTTGTCTACGAAAATGTATACTCTAATTATTGCAGTGCAGCTTCGGTAAAAAAACCAAAAATGTATTTTGACGCACCACCGAACGAACACAGCTTACGACCACTGCTCTGCTGCACACACGTTGACCATGACGTATGTTTACACATACACACACACACACACACACACACACACACACACACACACACACACACACACACATATGGACGTCTCGTGAGAAATTGTCGACGACGTATTTTCTTTCATATCGTCTATATACTTTATATATATTATATTCCATAAACCTTCAAAACCTTTTTCTTCAGCGATTCCACTGCCGGCAAATATTACGCTAGCAAAACGTCGTCATATATATTAGTTGTACGTCCGTATCTGATCTCGCGGTTCGCCTTTTGCCGCAGACTACCGGACGCCAGTAGTTACATTAAATACACGCATTTGTATCCATTTTAATACGTTGGGTATAGGGTCGTAATATTACAATTGGATATATTATTATACTACGGACCGGATATAACCGGAAAACCTTACGCCGCACAGTCTCTCGGGCGGGGGAGGCGACGACTCGATAATGCGGTTTAACGTCCCGTTTACCGCTCAACGTAATTTATACGATAAAAATAACTGTGCAGTAGTAATAACATCGAACAAACACAGCGGTCCATATTATGATGCTCATCGCAATTTAAAATAATTAACAGAACTTGCCACGTCGAGACACTGCCGATTATGCATATATATATATATATTTGTTTTAATTAATTTAAGGTTTAAACATCTGAGGTCATTAGCCCGGGTTATTTAGTAGGTTCCCATTACAGTGGGATGGGTACGGTTGGTTTAGAACACCACGTGTGGCAAGGATTTTCCACTGAAAACCCGGGCGGTCACCCATCCAGTGACGGCACTCGGAACACATCAGTGACACCAAGTCTCACCAAGCCACTTTCGATGTATTATTTCTTGCGCAATATGGTGTAACGGTTGTGCTCTTCGATGCTTCCATTCCGATATTATATCGATACAGATTATATATTTGATCAGGAAGCATACATTATTATAAGCCATATTAAAATATATAATTGTACAAATATGTATTGTACCTAATAGATCATAATATTACTATTATCTTAGCGACCATACGTGAAAAACTAAACGAACAATAATCGCAACAAACAGACTCTGCGGCCGTCTATAAAAAAATAAATATACCATTGTGCTTCTATAATAATATAAAAAAACTTCAAACTCAACAAACTGTCACATCATTATCGGTGACTCTCTGAGTGCCCTTATTGCAATTTTTAACCCCTACCCTAAAAATGAACTTATTCAACACATACAGAAATTAATATCTGAAATAAACACCCCCACATGTTTCATGTGGGTCCCCTCACACATTGGGATACCCGGGAACGAAAAAGCAGACACATCAGCCTATGAAGCCATTTCATCTCCACAGTCCATTAAAATCAGCTCTACTTCCTCATTTGAAATCTTCAGCACAATTCATCAAAAAATAATGGAAGAATGGCAACTTTTTTGGGAAAATATTCCCCTTACCAACAAACTGAGAAATACAAAATTACTCGTCAAGAAACTAAACTACCCTCCCGGCACAAAAAGAAAAGACGAAGTAACAGTCACTCGAGCCAAAATAGGCCATTCTTACTTAACACATGTACATCTCATCAAAAAAGAACCAGCACCCATATATGTGACACTTGCAACGTGATTCTATCAATTGAACATAATATTGTAATCACCTGCCCCGAGTACACTGAAGCACGCAAGACACTCCAAAATCCAACATCACTCTATCAAGCCTTCAAAGATGAAAACACAGCTGCAATCAGTACATTTTTCCATAATATAAACACTAAACACCCACTGTAAATAGTAACTATAATAATGTAGTAAAATGTATTGTAAAACTTAATGTATACATATATATATTCTTCTTTCTTTCTTTTTCTTGTATACATTTTAATTAAAGTAGGCTAAAAACCTGTGTTGTTGAAGCCTTACTAAACTATAAAAAAAAATAATAATAATAATAATATAAAACTACTATTATATTATTAAAGTCCGAATACGTCTTGCGCACGACAATTTTAACGGCTACGAGAAATGATTATCATGATTACATGATATACAACAACAATATCGCTCCCAGTTTTTCTATATTTTCTCCGGTTACAGTTGGTCGTTTTTTCCGTTTTAACTCTTAACAGTTCTATAAAAAGTGCGCGTGTAGACCGGTGTCGGTTTTGAGTCGGTCTGCTCAAAATTTTCCCTCTAAGGGCATTTTTTCTTTGTATTTGTTGAAATTCACGTCCGCCGGTTATTTTAAAGTTTTTATCGTGTGTTCTGGTTGACTCGGCCATGCTATCTCCCGCCGCCCGTTAATTACCTACCCGACGCGATACGGGCCACACGCGTGCGACATATACACTGTGTGCCTAGTAGCATTTATAAACGACGCGATCACTTATACACCGTGAGTCAAGTGATTTCCTATCTTCATATTATCCCTTAATTTACCTATTCCTTTATTATTTTAATCTACTTTTGACGTCAAATCTGCATAATGACTCCAACCCCAACTAAATCATCACAAATCAAAACTAGATCTGCAACTGTTAATAAAAAAGCTTCGTCTCCTGTTAACATGGATGATCTTCATCACTCTATCGCTGAGATTCGCAGTTCTCAGATTGATATGCTTGAACAGTGTAAAGCTATGAATTTGTCACAAAACTCAAAACTAGCTGAATTGTTATCAAGTATTGATTTTCTTAAATCCCAACTCGTTGAGATAAGGTCGGAAAATACTACTCTCCGCAACGAAATTGCTACCCTCAATAACAGAATTCAAGTTTTGGAGAATTCTACTGATGGTTCAAGTAACATGCCCCAGCTGATCCAAGAATTGGCTAACCGTGAAATATGTGCTCGTAACATTATAGTACATGGTCTCCAAGAGTCTTCGTCCAATGATCCTACAGTTCGAATTGCTTCCGATATTAAATTACTCGGTGATAATATTCATCCGATTAACTTAACTTTACCTCAAGATCTTAAGTTATTTAGGTTGGGCCGCAAGATAAGTGGTAAACCTCGACCTCTAAAGGTGGTACTTCAATCGAAGGAAATGGCTCTCAACTTGGTGTCTGTTTTCAACTCTCATAAGCGAACACAATCGGTCCCTGCTAACTCAATCTCCATCTCACGTGATCGCACCCTCCTTGAGCGCCAAGAAATTCGTCGTGTCTACACAGAGCTTGAGAACCGTAAGAAAAACGGTGAACACAACATCTCCATAAAGTATAGGAATGGAATTCCACTTATTGTACCTAATGATGGTGGTGTTTCTGGTAGTCACTCGAATCATCCATCTTCTTCGCTTTCAAAAAACTAGTCACCTGCATGCATTCATTCATCTCCAAGGACTGTCATCATCCTATCTTCACGGTAACCCCTAACTGTACTATTTGTAATAATCTCAATTCTTCCATGAATATCTATGTACATGAGTTTCTCTCATTCAAAAATAAATTCTCTAAAACTAATTATCTATCGTTAAGTAAAGAAATGTATAATTTAAATTTTTATTACCAAAATGTTAGAGGCCTTAGATCAAAATTATTCAATCTGCATTCTAACTTTGTTCTTTTATCATATGATATTTTTTTACTAACGGAGACATGGCTCTCTGATGATATAAACAATGCCGAGCTTAACTTTTCCGATTATACTATATTTAGATGTGATAGAAGCACTCATACTAGCAACCTCTCTCGTGGTGGTGGAGTTCTTATAGCAGTTAGGAATAATCTACGCCCTCAGCTCGTCCCTACCGGTGTACAAAATGTCGAACAATTATTTGTTCGTATTTCTGTAACAAATGAACTCTCTGCTCTCATTAGTGTGGTATACATTCCCCCCAATGCAAACTTGTCACTTTATGATACTTATACGAAATCTGTGGACCTAACGTGGGAATCATCTAATTGTAATCTAGGTATATTTTGTGGTGATTTCAACTTACCAGGTACATCCTGGAGTTCCTCTAACCAGAGTCTCAAGTTTAGTGGCACAGTCAATGATAAATCTTCTCTAATTGGAGATCAATTTATCAGTATGGACTTCCTCCAATTGAATTCTATATACAACAGTTCTGGTTCCCTTCTTGATTTGATATTCGCTAATAAAGAAAGTATCTCTGTTGATGTAGCTCCAGTCAGTCTTGTCCCTTGTGACAGATATCATCCAGCTTTGTCATTTAATTATCAAGTTCCTGTCCCTTTATTTATGCTAGATGATAGTCACTCGTTTCGTGATTTTAACAATGCTGACTTTGACTCTATTGCTAAAGCCTTAGCCGACAATGACTGGTCTACTACTTTTAACATTCAGCCTGCTGACTTATCTGCCACAAGGTTACAGGATTCTATTCTTGACGCCATTCAACGATTCGTACCACTTAAACCATTTCGTAGATCAACCTTCCCTTCATGGGTTTCCCCTGTTCTCAAATCTCTTCTTTTTAAAAAAAAATCAGCTCATAAAAAATTCAAAAAAACAGGCTCGTTTCATGACTACAACTCGTTCTCCAATCTACGTTCTCAATGTAAAGCACTATCTAAATCATGTTTAAGGACTCATATCAATGTTGCTCAGTCTCGACTTACCTCTAGCCCACGTGATTTTTGGTCCTTCATAAAAAAGAGTCGTGACTCTTCTTCGATTCCTAATCAAGTATACTTGAATGATATCTCTGCTAATGGTCCTGATGTTGCTGAACTTTTTTCTTCTTTCTTTGCCTCTACTTATAAACAACCTTCAGCTGCCCCTAACTTAGCTCTAATGAATATTGAAATCCAGCAGTTCTCCTTCTTACCTAACCATTTATCTATTTCCATTGAGGAAGTATCTGATGCTCTCGTGACGTTATCAAATGTCCGTGGAGTGGGCCCTGATGATATTCCAGCTTCTTTACTTTTTAAATGTCGTGAGGTGCTTTGCTCCCCGCTCTGTACTATTTTCAACAAGTCTCTCACTGAGGGCTCTTTTCCAGCTGTTTGGAAAATTAGTCGTGTTACACCGATCCTAAAATCTGGTGATCCAACTCTAGTCATGAATTATAGACCGATATCTAATCTTCCCTTTATTGGCAAACTTTTTGAACTGATAGTTCTTAAAAAAATTGAACGCCCTCTTCATTCTACATTGTCTACAGACCAACATGGCTTTTTTCCTGGTCGTTCCACTATAACCAGTTCACTAGATTTTTCTTGTTTTATCCGTGATGCCTTTAGAGATAATTCCCAAGTTGACGCTATTTTCACCGACTTTTCAAAAGCATTTGATTCAGTTGATCATAACTCTCTCATCTACACCTTGGATAAACTGGGAATTGGTTTTCCTCTTTTATCATGGATTCGCTCATACCTAGTGGATAGATGGCAATATGTTAAGTTGTTCAATATCTCATCAAGTAAATTTAAAGTTTCTTCTGGCGTTCCGCAAGGTGGACATTTATCTCCACTACTATTTAATATTTTTGTTAATTCAATATTTAGCAATGTCCCGTCGGTCCGTTTACTTCTTTTTGCTGATGATGCTAAGCTGTTCTCCAGGATATCTTCCAGTACTGATTGTGACGTCCTTCAATCATCATTCAATAATTTTATTAACTGGTGTCAGGCTATTGGCCTTACCCTAAACTTTGATAAGTGTAAAATCATATCATTCTCCAGATCACGGATTCCTGTGGATTACGTATATACTTATAATGACTCACCCCTAACTCGAGTATCTGAAGTAAAGGATCTAGGTATAATATATACCTCCTCACTTTCCTTCAGACCTCATATTGATTATATCACTTGTAAGGCCTTACGTCTTCTGGGATTCATACGCCGCCACACCAAACACTTCAACTCAGCACCTTGCATCATAACCCTTTATTCTGCTCTCATTCGTTCAATTCTCGACTATGGTTCAATCATTTGGAATCCCCATCTTAAAACGGAAATAAAACTTATTGAACGAGTCCAGACTCGATTCCTAAACTATGCAGGCTTCTTATTAAAAATTGAACACCCCCTACACTCATACCAACCTGTCATGGGCGCGCTTAATCTCCTCTCCCTCGAGGAAAGGCGACTAATTGCGGATCGTAACTTCCTTTTAAAATTAATCCAGGGTAAAATTGATGCTCCGCGTCTCCTTGAGCGTATTAGCTTTAGAGTTCCTACCGCCAATACCAGATCAACCAATTCCTTTCACATCCCAACTTCCCGTTCAAACTTTTTATCTAATGATCCTTTTGTTAGAGCTATGCGCAATTTAAATAATAATAATTTTGATATATGGCCTTAAATTTTGTATTCTCCTAACGTGTGTAATTTTCCTATTATAATTATTATTGTTCTTATTTTTTAGTATATTGTTAACATTATCATTTATGTATATTTTTCTTATCACTAACGTTAATTCATGTTATATCGTTATTGCAATATGTAAAAAGCCGTTTGGCGTTTATACAAATAAATAAAAAATAAATAAATAAATAAAATATATATATTATTTTATTCCTGTTTGTTTATTATATACGTTGATGTTGATTTCAGTTACATAAACTCACGGTACGTCAGTCTACCAGAAGCTGTTTGGAGGTTATTTTCGTATGAAATGCATAACAAGTGTCATACGATCAATAGACTACATGTGCACCTGGAAGACTATCACAACGTGTACTTTGGACCTGGACAGGTACTAGAGCGGGTGCAGAACGCGGCTCTGGCTCGAACCAAACTCACGGCATTCTTCGACCTCAACACGACAGACGAAGAGGCTAGACAGTACCTCTACCAAGAGATACCGGTACATTACACTTGGAACGCGTCTAGAAGAACGTGGACACGACGTCAAAGACAGATGACGTACGAGACGTTTGCTCGAATGTACGTTGTCAACCCACTTGATCGCGATCGTTTCTACCTACGATTGCTACTCCTACACAAGAGGGGCCCGCAGTGTTTCCGGGACATGAGGAAAGTAGACGGGGTAGAGCATCCAACATACGCGACTGCGTATATTATGTATATGTATATGGGACTTGTGGAAGACGACCGAGCTATGTTGGCGTGCATGGCCGAATCAGCAACATTGGACACTCCAGTCCAGCTTCGTTACCTTTTTGTGACGATGCTTTTGCACTGCGAGATCACAAACCCGCTGGCGTTGTATCAAGCCAGCGAACCTCACATGTTGCAGGACTTCAATCACCGATTGAGGGACATTGACCGCGCGAGGGCTTTGGACGCAATCAACAGGATGCATCGTGGTCACGGACAAACCGCTTGCGGACTACGGTTTGCCACTACCGGACGTCACATTGCTGGAAGAAGACCCGGACGATGACATGTTTGGTGCTATAGACGCCGCGGTGCGCTGGGCCGTACAATTGGACAATTTGAACGACGAACAACGGACAGTGTTCAATCGTGTGATGGCGGCCGTAGACGACAACAGAAACGTATCAAAACTTTTCTACATTGACGGTCCCGGAGGAACAGGTAAAACAACACTATACGGGTGCCTCATATGGTCGCTTCGCAACCAAGGGCGATCCGTGTTGTCCGTGGCTTTTACAGGAATAGCAGCGTCGCTCATGGACGGCGGCATGACAGTGCACTCGACGTTTGGATTGCCGTTCGGTACACTGAACGACGATTCAACGTCGACCATCACCTTGCAGTCGTTGCGTGCTCAGAGGATACGTGACGCAGCACTCATTGTCTGGGACGAAGCGCCCATGTCTCCGGGACTACAACTCACAGTGGTCAATAGGATGCTCCAGGACATCATGGGTTCAGAATTACCGTTCAGCGGTAAGCCGGTATTGTTCGCCGGCGACTTCAGGCATATTCTACCTGTCGTGCGCAGGGGAACAAGGAGTGACATCGTCAGGTCGTCTATCAAATACAACTCTTTGTGACGCAACCTGGAACAGTTCAATTTGACGCGGAACAGTCAGCGACGCTGACTTCGCAAAATAGTTGCTTCAGCTCGGGAGCGGTCAACGGTGTTCAGGACACTGTTGAAATACCCCGGGAAATGGTATGTGAGGTCGCTAATTTGATTGATTTTGTTTTTCCGCAGCGAATGTCGTTGGCTAACGTCAATGAGTTTGCTCGGAAAATAATTTTATGTCCCAGGAACGACGAATGCAGGCAGGTCAATAATACGGTGTTGCAACGCATTGACGGAGTTCACCGAACCTACACGGCCATAGACACTGTGGTGGTCGATGACCCCGACGAAGTATCCAATTATCCGACAGAGTTTCTCAACACTCTGCAACCGGACGGACTGCCACCGTACAACTTGACGCTAAAGGTCGGTTCTATTGTCATGTTGCTTAGGAACCTAGATTCTAAGAGACGTCTTTGCAACGGTACCCGGTTGGTTGTGACTGAACTGCGGCGATACAACTTCAAAGCGAGGATGTTGTCTGGTGGTGCACAGGAAGATATAGTCATACCTGCGGTACCGCTCACGTCGAGTGGCGAAGACGACCTGACCATTATAATGTGACGAGTGCAATTTCCAGTACGTTTGTCATTTGCTATGACCATTAACAAGTCACAGGAACAAACGTTTGATAGAGTTAGATTTCTCCTGCCATCACCGGTGTTCACGCACGGACAACTGTATGTAGCGTTTTCCCGAGAGAGGGTTAGGGTAGGTATGTACAGTGATGACCGTGGTAGATTTGTCACTAAGAACATTGTGTACAGAGAAGTTCTACAAGCGATATAACTGTACAATGAAGTCTACAAGAACTTAATGAACATCGAATCCAATCTGTATGATCCAATTCTGTGTGACAAAAGTCTGTGTGACAAGTCTGTGTGACACATGGTTCATAAGCAGTCGTAAGTACGACTCGAGGAAGAGAGAAAGTTCGACAACCTCCTAGTGGTTCTGTAACGGGCTGTGACTACGTACATATTATAATAGTAATAATATATAAAATATTATATTATATTATGCTGTATTAAGTATAATGCGCTTATAATATAATATATTATTTTCAATAACAGATATAAATGCGGCAGAGGGCACGTAACCCAATAATAGTAATAATATAAACGTCCGGGCGGCCATATCGATAAGAGTATAGAACGCGCGTATTATCCATATTCTGGGAAACACAAAAAAGCCATAAACAACAAAATAGATAACTTTGAAACATATAATCCCAATTAACATTATTTCGTAGAGGACGCCCGAAATGACGTCAGGTATACGCAGCTATGTACCATTTTATATACTAAAAATGCTATAGGAGGGATATAATAGGAAAACCGACGAAATACGTCGATGGACAAGTGTCCATCAGACGAACACCAGCCAAGACAACGAGCACTATAGCAGGACAGCCACAAAGTCAATACTAAGTCACAACCCGTTTACCACTATTTTATAATTTAATTATTTGGACTTAGAATATTTTCGTGTTAAATAAATACAAATAAACTATCATTATACCAACAACTTGTCATTTTCATTCAAAATACCATCAATATTGAGTTGAAGTAGTTGGCACGTTACAAATTGGCGCTGTGGACAGGGTTTCTCAAAAGATACTTAGAAGAAATCGAGGAACAATTAAAAAATCTTTTCGAAATTTTTCGAAAAATTTTTGAAAATTTTTCAACTTCTAAATTCAATCACGGAGGGAAATTCATCACTGGACCACCGTTGGGAGATTGATCACCTTCCAGCAACTCCGAGAAAGAATCCTGTATAACTGAGTAACACACAACTACAATCAACATTTCACCAAGCAATGGAAGCACCCGCTGTACCAGCTGCGTTGTTGTAAGTATAATTACGTGAATAATATCGAGGTGTTCGTCTCCTATGGTATATGCATGACCATAGTATATAGTAATAAGTGAAGAAAATAGTCGTGTTAAATAATATAAGAAATTTTAGGAACTTTGAATTTTCGTTTCAACAAACCGAAATTGTGTTGAATTTTACCAGTGTTTTAATAAAATAAATCGATAAATTTTCAAGGATTAAATTAAATAACATTTGAATAAAATAATAATTTATTTTAAAATAACGTCGCGAATTATTTTAAATAAATTAAAAATTTTTAACTTTAAATTAAATTAAATAAAATTTTATTTTCAGGTATTTTATGTTTCAATCATTTTAATAGAATAAGATAGATATTGTTCAGTACTTTAAGTCATTTCTAAATAAAATAAAAATAATAAATTTATTTATAATAAATTTATTCAATAAATTAAATTAAAATAAAATAAAATAATAGTTTAAATTAAATAAAATTTTTATTCATTCTAATTAATTAAATTCATTAACATTTAATTAATTTAAAATAATAAATTAACTTAAAATTTTTCCATCATTTAATTAAATTAAATTAAAATAATATTTAGTTTTAAACTAAATCTTCAATCTTTAAATAAAATAAAACAATAATTTTATTTTACAATAAAATTATCCAATCGGTTAAATAATTTAATTTAATAATTCAATTTTAACTTAACATAATAAATAATTTAAAATAAATTTCAAATTATTTAAATAAAATAGAAATAGTACTTTGATTTTAAAATAATTTTCAATCATTTGAATAATTTAATTTAACAATTTAATTTAATCATTTAATTAATTTAACATAATAATTTAAATAAATTTTAATCGTTTAGTTAAACAATTTAATTGTTTAGGATTATAATTTTCATATTCAAATATGATTTTTCTGATTGATTAATTATAGACGTTTGTACCTACTATTTAATTTTATTTAAGCTGAACAATTTCTATTTTACGCATCAGATTATCGAATTCAATTGTGTTGATTATTATAATAATTTGAGTTAACTAATAACTTTATAGAATAATACAATTATTTTAGGAATAAATATAGTTATTGAAATACAACGGAAATTCAAGTCAGTTATTTAAAGAAGAAATAAATTAAAGGCATTGTATTATTTAATTAATTATTTCAGATAGTAATTAATTTGAGAAAAATTTATTTTATTAATTAACAGTTATAGTTGAAATTATTTAGGACGTTTTCACTAGTTAACAAATTTCATTCTAAAAGCAATTCATTGAATTAGTTCATGCCGATTATTATAATAAATTAAAAAATTAATTAAGAATAATTTTAAGAAAAAGGGGGTTAATTAATTATTGTTGAATATATTGGTGATTATATTGAGAATTATTGGGAATTTTATTGAAAGGCCGTGAAGTAAGTCCTTATATTTTGTGAATTTTATTTGAGACAATTGATGTCTGTATTTGGAAATTTTATTTAAAGGCCG